ATCATTGCCGCTGTTTTTAATTATTTGGGATCCCGTTTCCCTTTTCCGGAGGCTCGGATCTTCGGATCCCTCCACCATGCTTGTCATGCAACTGGGCTGAACCAGCCCGTGAACCACTGACATTCTTGGTCGAGAATGCTGGCAAGAGCTGCTTTTTAGCTTTTGGAACAAATCTCTCTCTGCTCCTGGAGACCTTCCTTAGGGAACTTCATCAGCACTTCAGGTTTCTGTGCTGAAAAACTTGGCCTTGGAAGTCCAGGAGGACTGCCAGTATTTTGGGATATTTGTAAACTTTGAACACTGCTATCTTGCTTCTGTAAAGAGAAAAAAAAAAAAGTGCTTTCTCTTGAGAAACTGCTTTTCAAGGGACTGCATGCCATCGTTTTTTCTTATTTAATGCTCAAAACGTGGTGGGTTCTTAATTAAGTTTGCCACTTTGCTCTATGGAGTTATAGGTATACATAATCAATTGAAAACACTGATGGAAATAACTATCTGGTATCTGCATACAATGTGGCATACAACTCCAGAGGAAGCTGCTAATTCTACAGAACGTGGTTTTTAAACAGGCTCCCAGTCTCTTCCTCGAATCCTTTATACATTTTTTGAATGCTCATCTGATCATGTTAATCTCCCTGAATATAATACTCATCATTTCACTCAGTGTTTGTTTTCATCATATTTTGAAGAAGTATTCCCCAAAACCAGAGAATCCTGAGTGGCAAGGAGTGTGGAGATGTTCGAGAGAGACTTCAGAAGAGATGGACATCTTCTTTGTCATGGAACTTTACTCCTGAGCACCTGAAAAACCCTGAGAGTCAAAACAGATATTTGAGACAGGAACGTTGTGGCTCAGGCAGATCTGAGGAGGCACAAATGATTTGAGGCCTGGCTACTGCTTATTAAATACTTTTTTTTAATACTGTAAGTAGTAAATAAGTATTTAATAAGCCTTATTAAATACTATCCCAGAGAGGGAGAGAGTTTCTGAAATTGAGAGAGTCTCTGTGCTGAAAGAGAATGTCTCAGAGCTGATAGGGAGAATCTCCATGTTCAGAAAAGGAGTCTTCTTGTTGAGAAACAGAATCTCCTGGCTGAGCGAGAGAGTCTCCAATCTGAGAATCTCCAATCTGAGAGAAAAGGCCTCCAGTCCAAACGAGACACACCCTGGGGTGAGCAAGACGCCTTCCAGTCCAAATGGGACACCTTCAAATCTGAGAGAGATACCCTCTGAACTGAGAGAGACTCCCTTCAATCCAAACTCAACAACTTTCAGTTTCAACAAGACACCCTCCAGTCCAAGTGAGACGCCCCCTGGTCCACGAGGGACATCCTCAAGTCCAAACGGGATGTACTCCGAACTGAGTGAGATGCTTTCCAGCATGCAAAATTCAGTCTCCAAATTGAACTAAGCAGAATTTAGTCTCATCAAGTCATGCTTGAATCTGAACTAACTACCGTAATAATTGAACGAGACAGACTCTGAGCTGAGCTGGAGAGTGAGAGCATAAAAATTGACCAACCTAATCGACTACAGGAGGCACCAGAATCAATGTCAGTTGCTCCTGCAAGAGGACAGAAAATGAAACGAATCTCGACTCACTTCGAACAGAAGAAAGAGGAGTAGGGGAAACTAGAGGAAGCAGACACTGCAGAAGAAGAGGAGGAAAGAGGTCCAGAGGAGTGGCTCTGAGATTTAGGGGAAGTGCCCCTGAGTCCAGGGGAGGGGCCCTCAATAAGACCGGGGTCACCAATGCCCAGGAGGGTGACAAGAAGTCCTGAAAGAGCAGGAGGTGAGCAAGACATTGTTACCATTACTGATCAATCTCTGAAAATGAATGAAATTCTAGATCTGAGAAAAGACTTTTCACGCCACCCAAATGAACCTGTTCTCACCTAGTTACTTCAATGGTGAGACAGTGGGGCCAACAGATAGTAAAGAAGCTCACCAACTGAGCGGCATTGCTAGGGACTCAGCCATTGACAGAGTGGGTCCTTCACCCTTTGGAAGCGGATGCTGCTAGCCGTGAAAGAAAAATGCCCCTTCAAAGATGATCTGATGCTTGAGAAAAAGAAATGGACTAATATGGGAAAAGGCATCTGTTATTTGAGAGAATACGCTGTGGTGGAAATGTTACATAGCCCCGTTTTCATTGCTGACAAGCCAGACCAAGAGCACGATCCTGAGAGAGTCAGGTGTACACCAAATATGTGGCGTATACTCACAAAGACTTCACCAGAAAGGTATACCAGCACATTTGCCTGCAATGTATGGCAGAGGGGAAAGAAGACCCCTTACAAATGAACTGATTAATAAACTTCAAGACTTTGAGTTGCATTTAACTCCTCTACGAGCTTATGTTTCGGCCATCACAAAAGTATCTGAAAAACTGGACAGAATGGAGAGCAATCAAGAAGATATAATAGATGGCACAGACGGCAGTACCCACAGCAACAGGGAATCCTTGCTCCCCATTCATAAGTAGATTCATCAACTAGAGAGTCAGGGAGTGATCAGCAACTTACAGATCTTTTAACAGGCCCATATGGCCAGTGTGTAAAGCCAGTGGAGAATGGAGGCTGACAGTAGACTCCCATGGCCTGACTTAAGTCACTGAGCGCTGCTATGCCAGACATGTTAGATCTCCAGTTGGAACTGGAGTCAAAAGCAGCCAAATGGTATGCCACCACTGACATTGCTAATGCCTTTTTCTCCATTCCATCGGCCACAGAATGTAGGCCACAGTTTGCTTTCACCTGGAGGGGCATTCAGTATACCTGGAATCGTTTGCCCCAGGGGTGGAAACATAGCCCAACCATTTGCCATGGGTTGATCCAAGGTGAACTGGAAAAGGGTGGTGCTCCGGAGCACTTACAGTACATTGATGACACTATTGTGTGGGACAACACAGCAGGGGAAGTTTTTAAGAAAGGAGAGCAAATAATCCAGATCCTTCTGCATGCTGGTTTCACTATTAAGTGAAGCAAAGTGAAAGGACCTGCAGAAGAAATTCAGTTCCTAGGGATAAAGTTCCTATGGATGTCGTCAGATCCCACCAAATGTGGTCAACAAAATCACTGCCATGTCTCCACCCACTAATAAGAAAGAGACAAAATATTTTCTGGGCATAATGGGCTTTTGGAGAATGCATGTTCCACACTATAGCCTCACTGTAAGCCACCTCTATCAGGTGACATGGAAGAAGAATAATTTTGTGTGGAGTCCTGAGCAGCAGCAAGCATTTGAGCAGATTAAGCAGGAGATAGCCCGTGCTGTGGCCCTGGGGCCAGTATGGACAGATCAGGATGTAAAGAACACCCTCTACACACTGCTGCTGGAGAGAAAGGTCCCACTTGGAGTTTGTGGCAAAGAGCCTTGGGAGAGACCCAAGGCCAAGCCCTGTGATTCTGGAGTTGAGTGTACAAAGGGTCTGAAGAGTGCTACACTCCAACTGAAAAGGAGATCTTAGTTATATATGAGGGGGTTTGGCCTGCTTCCAAAGTAATCTGTACTGAAACGTAGCTCCTTCTAGCACCTCGACTGCCACTGCTGAACTGAATGTTCAAGAGAAAGATTCCCTCCATCCATCATGCTACTGATGCCACTTGGAGTAAGTTGATT